TCGCTACCTCTGGAGTTGTACGCATGCTCCCTTGGAGTCGAAACGAACTCAACTGGTGCTGCCGAAATCGAAGAGAAGTCGCGTGCGTGGAGCTGCTGAAGTCGAAGAGGAGTCACGTGGTGCTGCTGAAGTCTAAACAAATGCGTCCTTGGGTTTCTGCCATCCATCCGCCATCATCCACCCCGCCTTTCACCGGATCTCCAACTCGAAATCCCAAGGTATGCTCGTTTGCACCAGAGTTAGTTCCTTGTCCGTTTTTGCTATTGCTTGTTCCCCTTACTCGCTTCCGTGCTTGCTTTGTCCCTGCCTTTGATATAACTCTGATTTCTAACTAATCTTGGTGGCCTTGTTGCAGGAACCAAACTCGCTACCTCTGGAGTTGCACACATGCTTCCTTGGAGTCGAAACGAACTCAACTGGTGCTGCCGAAATCGAAGAGAAGTCGCGTGCGTGGAGCTGCTGAAGTCGAAGAGGAGTCACGTGGTGCTGCTGAAGTCTTAACGAATGCGTCCTTGGGTTTCTGCCATCCATCCGCCATCATCCACCCCGCCTTCCACCGGATCTCCAACTTGAAATTCCAAGGTATGCTCGTTTGCACCAGAGTTAGTTCCTTGTCCGTTTTTGCTATTGCTTGTTCCCCTTACTCGCTTCCGTGCTTGCTTTGTCCTTGCCTTTGATATAGCTCTGTTTTCTAACTTATCTTGGTGGCCTTGTTGCAGGAACCAAACTCGCTACCTCTGGAGTTGCACGCATGCTCCCTTGGAGTCGAACCGAACTCAACTGGTGCTGCCGAAATCGAAGAGAAGTCGCGTGCGTGGAGCTGCTGAAGTCGAAGAGGAGTCACGTGGTGCTGCTGAAGTCGAAGAGAAGTCGCGTGCGTGGAGCTGCTGAAGTCGAAGAGGAGTCACGTGGTGCTGCTGAAGTCTAATCGAATGCGTCCTTGGGTTTCTGCCATCCATCCGCCATCATCCACCCCGCCTTCCACCGGATCTCCAACTCGAAATCCCAAGGTATGCTCGTTTGCACCAGAGTTAGTTCCTTGTCCGTTTTTGCTATTGCTTGTTCCCCTTACTCGCTTCCGTGCTTGCTTTGTCCTTGCCTTTGATATAGCTCTGTTTTCTAACTTATCTTGGTGGCCTTGTTGCAGGAACCAAACTCGCTACCTCTGGAGTTGCACGCATGCTCCCTTGGAGTCGAAACGAACTCAACTGGTGCTGTTGAAATCGAAGAGAATTCGCGTGCGTGGAGCTGCTGAAGTCGAAGAGGAGTCACGTGGTGCTGCTGAAGTCTAAACAAATGCGTCCTTGGGTTTCTGCCATCCATCCGCCATCATCCACCCCGCCTTTCACCGGATCTCCAACTCGAAATCCCAAGGTATGCTCGTTTGCACCAGAGTTAGTTCCTTGTCCGTTTTTGCTATTGCTTGTTCCCCTTACTCGCTTCCGTGCTTTCTTTGTCCCTGCCTTCGATATAACTCTGATTTCTAACTAATCTTGGTGGCCTTGTTGCAGGAACCAAACTCGCTACCTCTGGAGTTGCACGCATGCTCCCTTGGAGTCAGAACGAACTCAACTGGTGCTGCTGCAGTCGAAGAAAAGTCGCGTGCGTGGAGCTGCTGAAGTCGAAGAGGAGTCACGTGGTGCTGCTGAAGTCTAAACGAATGCGTCCTTGGGTTTCTGCCATCCATCCGCCATCATCCACCCCGCCTTTCACCGGATCTCCAACTCGAAATCCCAAGGTATGCTCGTTTGCACCAGAGTTAGTTCCTTGTCCGTTTTTGCTATTGCTTGTTCCCCTTACTCGCTTCCGTGCTTGCTTTTTCCCTGCCTTTGACATAACTCTGATTTCTAACTAATCTTGGTGGCCTTGTAGCAGGAACCAAACTCGCTACCTTTGGAGTTGCACGCATGCTCCCTTGGAGTCGAAACAAACTCAACTGGTGCTGCTGAAGTCGAAGAGAAGTCGCGTGCGTGGAGCTGCTGAAGTCGAAGAGGAGTCACGTGGTGCTGCTGAAGTCTAATCGAATGCGTCCTTGGGTTTCTGCCATCCATCCGCCATCATCCACCCCGCCTTCCACCGGATCTCCAACTCGAAATCCCAAGGTATGCTCGTTTGCACCAGAGTTAGTTCCTTGTCCGTTTTTGCTATTGCTTGTTCCCCTTACTCGCTTCCGTGCTTGCTTTGTCCTTGCCTTTGATATAGCTCTGTTTTCTAACTTATCTTGGTGGCCTTGTTGCAGGAACCAAACTCGCTACCTCTGGAGTTGCACGCATGCTCCCTTGGAGTCGAACCGAACTCAACTGGTGCTGCCGAAATCGAAGAGAAGTCGCGTGCGTGGAGCTGCTGAAGTCGAAGAGGAGTCACGTGGTGCTGCTGAAGTCGAAGAGAAGTCGCGTGCGTGGAGCTGCTGAAGTCGAAGAGGAGTCACGTGGTGCTGCTGAAGTCTAATCGAATGCGTCCTTGGGTTTCTGCCATCCATCCGCCATCATCCACCCCGCCTTCCACCGGATCTCCAACTCGAAATCCCAAGGTATGCTCGTTTGCACCAGAGTTAGTTCCTTGTCCGTTTTTGCTATTGCTTGTTCCCCTTACTCGCTTCCGTGCTTGCTTTGTCCTTGCCTTTGATATAGCTCTGTTTTCTAACTTATCTTGGTGGCCTTGTTGCAGGAACCAAACTCGCTACCTCTGGAGTTGCACGCATGCTCCCTTGGAGTCGAAACGAACTCAACTGGTGCTGTTGAAATCGAAGAGAATTCGCATGCGTGGAGCTGCTGAAGTCGAAGAGGAGTCACGTGGTGCTGCTGAAGTCTAAACAAATGCGTCCTTGGGTTTCTGCCATCCATCCGCCATCATCCACCCCGCCTTTCACCGGATCTCCAACTCGAAATCCCAAGGTATGCTCGTTTGCACCAGAGTTAGTTCCTTGTCCGTTTTTGCTATTGCTTGTTCCCCTTACTCGCTTCCGTGCTTTCTTTGTCCCTGCCTTCGATATAACTCTGATTTCTAACTAATCTTGGTGGCCTTGTTGCAGGAACCAAACTCGCTACCTCTGGAGTTGCACGCATGCTCCCTTGGAGTCAGAACGAACTCAACCGGTGCTGCTGCAGTCGAAGAAAAGTCGCGTGCGTGGAGCTGCTGAAGTCGAAGAGGAGTCACGTGGTGCTGCTGAAGTCTAAACGAATGCGTCCTTGGGTTTCTGCCATCCATCCGCCATCATCCACCCCGCCTTTCACCGGATTTCCAACTCGAAATCCCAAGGTATGCTCGTTTGCACCAGAGTTAGTTCCTTGTCCGTTTTTGCTATTGCTTGTTCCCCTTACTCGCTTCCGTGCTTGCTTTTTCCCTGCCTTTGACATAACTCTGATTTCTAACTAATCTTGGTGGCCTTGTAGCAGGAACCAAACTCGCTACCTTTGGAGTTGCACGCATGCTCCCTTGGAGTCGAAACAAACTCAACTGGTGCTGCTGAAGTCGAAGAGAAGTCGCGTGCGTGGAGCTGCTGAAGTCGAAGAGGAGTCACGTGGTGCTGCTGAAGTCTAAACGAATGCGTCCTTGGGTTTCTGCCATCCATCCGCCATCATCCACCCCGCCTTCCACCGGATCTCCAACTCGAAATCCCAAGGTATGCTCGTTTGCACCAGAGTTAGTTCCTTGTCCGTTTTTGCTATTGCTTGTTCCCCTTACTCGCTTCCGTGCTTGCTTTGTCCTTGCCTTTGATATAGCTCTGTTTTCTAACTTATCTTGGTGGCCTTGTTGCAGGAACCAAACTCGCTACCTCTGGAGTTGCACGCATGCTCCCTTGGAGTCGAAACGAACTCAACTGGTGCTGTTGAAATCGAAGAGAATTCGCGTGCGTGGAGCTGCTGAAGTCGAAGAGGAGTCACGTGGTGCTGCTGAAGTCTAAACAAATGCGTCCTTGGGTTTCTGCCATCCATCCGCCATCATCCACCCCGCCTTTCACCGGATCTCCAACTCGAAATCCCAAGGTATGCTCGTTTGCACCAGAGTTAGTTCCTTGTCCGTTTTTGCTATTGCTTGTTCCCCTTACTCGCTTCCGTGCTTTCTTTGTCCCTGCCTTCGATATAACTTTGATTTCTAACTAATCTTGGTGGCCTTGTTGCAGGAACCAAACTCGCTACCTCTGGAGTTGCACGCATGCTCCCTTGGAGTCAGAACGAACTCAACTGGTGCTGCTGCAGTCGAAGAAAAGTCGCGTGCGTGGAGCTGCTGAAGTCGAAGAGGAGTCACGTGGTGCTGCTGAAGTCTAAACGAATGCGTCCTTGGGTTTCTGCCATCCATCCGCCATCATCCACCCCGCCTTTCACCGGATCTCCAACTCGAAATCCCAAGGTATGCTCGTTTGCACCAGAGTTAGTTCCTTGTCCGTTTTTGCTATTGCTTGTTCCCCTTACTCGCTTCCGTGCTTGCTTTGTCCCTGCCTTTGACATAACTCTGATTTCTAACTAATCTTGGTGGCCTTGTTGCAGGAACCAAACTCGCTACCTTTGGAGTTGCACGCATGCTCCCTTGGAGTCGAAACAAACTCAACTGGTGCTGCTGAAGTCGAAGAGAAGTCGCGTGCGTGGAGCTGCTGAAGTCGAAGAGGAGTCACGTGGTGCTGCTGAAGTCTAAAGGAATGCGTCCTTGGGTTTCTGCCATCCATCCGCCATCATCCACCCCGCCTTTCACCGGATCTCCAACTCGAAATCCCAAGGTATGCTCGTTTGCACCAGAGTTAGTTCCTTGTCCGTTTTTGCTATTGCTTGTTCCCCTTACTCGCTTCCGTGCTTTCTTTTTCCCTGCATTTGATATAACTCTGATTTCTGACTAAGCTTCGTGGCCTTGTTGCAGGAAACCAACTCGCTACCTCTGGAGTTGCACGCATGCTCCCTTGGAATCGAAACGAACTCAACTGGTGCTGCTGAAGTCGAAGAGAAGTCGCGTGCGTGGAGCTGCTGAAGTCGAAGAGGAGTCACGTGGTGCTGCTGAAGTGTAAACGAATGCGTCCTTGGGTTTCTGCCATCCATCCGCCATCATCCACCCCGCCTTTCACCAAATCTCCAACTCGAAATCTTAAGGTATGCTCGTTTGCACCAGAGTTAGTTCCTTGTCCGTTTTTGCTACTGCTTTATCTCCTTTCTCGCTTCCGAGCTTGCTTTCTCGCTGTCTTTACCATATAACTCCGATTTCTAATCAAGCTTGGTGGCCTTGTTGCAGGAACCAAACTCGCTATTTCTGGAGTTGCACGCATGCTCCCCTGGAGTCGAAACGAACTCAACTGGTGCTGCTGAAGTCGAAGAGAAGTCGCGTGCGTGGAGCTGCTGAAGTCGAAGAGGAGTCACGTGGTGCTGCTGAAGTCTAATCGAATGCGCCCTTGGGTTTCTGCCATCCATCCGCCATCATCCACCCCGCCTTTCACCGGATCTCCAACTCGAAATCCCAAGGTATGCTCGTTTGCACCAGAGTTAGTTCCTTGTCCGTTTTTGCTATTGCTTGTTCCCCTTACTCGCTTCCGTGCTTGCTTTCTCCCTGCCTTTACCATATAACTCTGATTTCTAATCAACCTTGGTGGCCTTGTTGCAGGAAACCAACTCGCTACCTCTGGAGTTGCACGCATGCTCCCTTGGAGTCGAAACGAACTCAACTGGTGCTGCCGAAATCGAAGAGAAGTCGCGTGCGTGGAGCTGCTGAAGTCGAAGAGGAGTCACGTGGTGCTGCTGAAGTCTAAATGAATGCGTCCTTGGGTTTCTGCCATCCATCCGCCATCATCCACCCCGCCTTCCACCGGATCTCCAACTCGAAATCCCAAGGTATGCTCGTTTGCACCAGAGGTTGTTCCTTGTCAGTTTTTGCTATTGCTTGTTCCCCTTACTCGCTTCCGTGCTTGCTTTCTCCCTGCCTTTACCATATAACTCTGATATCTAATCAAGCTTGGTGGCCTTGTTGCAGGAAACCAACTCGCTACCTCTGGAGTCGACATGAACTCGAAGTTAAAGAGAAGCCGTGTGCGTGGTGCTGCTGAAGTCGAAGAGGAGGCACTCCTTGTGATTTTGCCGTCCATCCGCCATCCGCCATTCCTTGTGAGGAGGTATGTTTGTTTGCGCCAGAGTTCAGTTCTTTGCCGCGTTCTTCCATTACTTCATTTCCACACTCGCTTTGGTGCTTGATTTTGCCTTGTCTTGACGGTATAGTTTTTTTCTAACTCAGCTGGGTGGTCTCTTTGCAGGAAACCTAGTCGCCACCTCTTGAGTCGCCACCTCTGGAGTCGCCACCTCTGGAGTCGCCTCCTCTGGAGTTGAGCGTTGGTGCAGCTGGAGCTGAGCGTATGCCTGAAGTCGAGCAGTAGTCAAGTGGTGCTTGCTGCTAAGAAGGAGCTGCTGGAAGGAGTTGAAGGGAGCTGCTGAAAGGAGTTGAAGGGAGCTGCTGAGAGGAGTTGAAGGGAGTTGCTGAGAGGATTTGAAGGGAGGTGCTGAGAGGAGTTGAAGGGAGCTGCTGAGAGGAGTTGAAGGGAGCTGCTGAGAGGAGTTGAAGGGAGCTGCTGAGAGGAGTTGAAGGGAGCTGCTGAGAGGAGTTGAAGGGAGCTGCTGAGAGGAGTTGAAGGGAGCTGCTGAGAGGAGTTGAAGGGAGCTGCTGAGAGGAGTTGAAGGGAGAGTTGAAGGGAGCTGCTGAGAGGAGTTGAAGGGAGCTGCTGAGAGGAGTTGAAGGGAGCTGCTGAGAGGAGTTGAAGGGAGCTGCTGAGAGGAGTTGAAGGGAGCTGCTGAGAGGAGTTGAAGGGAGCTGATGAGAGGCACTGCTGAGAGGCGCTGCAACTTAAGAAGCTGTCTCCTTTCAAGCAGTCTCCTTGTAAGCAGTCTCCTTGTGCTGTCTCGAGTTTGCTTCAAGTTTTGTTTTCCCAGCCATTTCTGTTCCACTATACTGACTTGGTGTTTTCGTCTTGTGCAGGGAGCTGCTGGGAGGAGTTGGCATAGCATGGCATGGATGACGTGGCATGGTATGGCATGGCATGGCATGGCATGGCATGGCATGGCATGGAATGGAGTGGAGTGGAATGGAGTGGAGTGGAGTGGAATGGAATGGAATGGAGTGGAGTGGAATGGAATGGAATGGAATGGCATGGCATAGCATGGCATGGCATGGCATGGCATGGCATGGAATGTATGGGAGGAGCTGCTGGGAGGAGCTGCACGGGAGTTCAACTTACCTTCAGCTCCTTGTCAAGTAAGTCCTCCTTCCTTTCTGTCCAGTCCTTCTCCTCACGCTCTCCCGAGCATGATTCAGTTCCGTTTGTCCAGCCATGCCTCTTTCCCTTCACTGACCTGGTGCATTTGTCTTGTGCAGAAAACGAGGAGCTGAAGGCAAGGACCTGCTGGGAGGCGCTGCTTGGAGGAGAGGCGCTGCCTTTGGACCCTCAAAGTAAGTTCTTGTTCTGATTCCCCCTACTGCAGTATGCTGCAATTCTATTCCATGTGTTTCATTATAATTCGGAATCTGTTTTTCAATTCACTATACTGACTCAATGTTTTTGTCCTGTGCAGGAAACAATGATTCCGCCGCGCAATGGGGGCTGCCTGGGTGCCTCGACCAGGAGGGGGCTGAGCTGTGGCAGAGACGTGGCCAAGGCTTGATGGGGCCTTGGAGTGGCACGCATGGGACAGCATGCGAGGGTGCTTTCCCACACTGGGGAGGGTGTGGGGGGCAGAGGGCGGAGCTTACTCCAGTGGTGCTGTGATGCGCAACCGGGCCGGGACGCTTTTGGAGCCCTGACGGTGTGCAGTCGGCCGGCCGGCTTCTGCACATTGGAGGGAGGTTCAGGCCTCTGAAAGCGTTCTGGGCACCCGGATGGCCAGGTAGCTTCACTGCTGGAGTGGGTGACGTTTTCTTCAAGTCAGCATCACACCGGGGCGGGTGTGAGGGGCTTGAGCTCTCATGAGGCCTGATCACACTGGGGTGGGTGTGAGGCTCTCAGCCACTTAAGAGAGAGAGAGTAGTCCACACCGGGGTGAGTGTGGAGAAATCTCCTCTTTCCACTTAAGAGTTTTCCCACACTGGGGTGGGTGTGCGGGGGCTCTGTCTCGGTCACTTAAAGGCTTTCTCACACCGGGGTGGGTGTGGGGGGTTCTCAGTCTCCTAGGCTAGTCCATACCCAGGTGGGTGTGGCTAGACCTCAGCAACTAAGGGGAAGACCGCACTGGGGTGGGTGCGGCTAGAGCAAGCTCGTTTCAGCCCTGCTGGAATGGTTTGCTCTACAAAGGGGAAGACCACACTGGGGTGGGTGTGGCTAGAGCAAGCGCAATGTTGCTCTACGTCGGAGGGATTTTTAGCCGAGTTACACGGCAGTACCCGTGACTTAACGCCTCCGGGTCTCAGCCCGTAAGCATCGCGCCAGGAGATGCTGATGGGACGGATTTTTATCCCTGGCTTTGGTGGTGAGGCCTAAAAAAAAAAAAAAAACAAAGGGAGACTGGTATCATTCCATGGTAGGGTGGCCTTGGAGGGCTGGATGATGGAGAAGTGGAGGGAGTTGGATGGGAAGGATGGTGAAAGGCGGCTGGCTGGATGAAGGAGAAGTGAAGGGCTGGATGAAGGAGAAGTGAAGGGCTGGATGGAGAAGTGAAGGGCTGGATGAAGGAGAAGTGAAGGGCTGGATGAAGGAGAAGTGAAGGGCTGGATGAAGGAGAAGTGAAGGGCTGGATGTAGGAGAAGTGAAGGGCTGGATGAAGGAGAAGTGAAGGGCTGGATGAAGGAGAAGTGAAGGGCTGGATGAAGGAGAAGTGAAGGGCTGGATGAAGGAGAAGTGAAGGGCTGACTGATGGAGAAGTGTAGGGCTGGATGAAGGAGAAGTGAAGGGCTGGATGAAGGAGAAGTGAAGGGCTGGATGAAGGAGAAGTGAAGGGCTGGATGAAGGAAAAGTGAAGGGCTGGATGAAGGAGAAGTGAAGGGCTGGATGATGGAGAAGTGAAGGGCTGGATGATGGAGAAGTGAAGGGCTGACTGATGGAGAAGTGTAAGGGAGAAAGATGTTGAAAGGTGGCTGGCTGGATGGAGAAGTGAAGTCTTTCCATGGTGGGGTGGCCATGGAGGGCTGGATGATGGAGAATGACTGGCTGGATGGTGGATGGTGCAATGGAAAAGTGGAGCAGAGATGCAGGGGAGCTGTGAATTCTTCGGGGGAAGACTTCTAGGGGAAAAGTTCTAGGGGGAAAAGTTCTAGGGAAAAAGTTCTAGGGGGGAAGACTTCTAGGGCAAAAGTTCTAGGGGGGAAGAGTTCTAGGGCAAAAGTTCTAGGGGGGAAGACTTCTAGGGGAAAAGTTCTAGGGGGGAGGACTTCTAGGGGAAAAGTTATAGGGGGGGAGACTTCTAGGGGGAAGTTCTAGGGGGGAAGACTTCTAGCGGAAAAGTTCTAGGGGGGAAGGCTTTTAGGGGACTGGTAGTTCTAGTGAAGCAACTGAGCTGTAAACTTCTTCTATGGGACTACGAATGCTTCTTGTTCTATTCTTCTTCTTGTGTGCACTTCTTCTAGGGGGGAGATTTCTGATGTGAGGCACAAGTTCTTGGGGGAAGGAAGGACTTTTGTTCTGAGGCACTAGTTCTAGGGGGAAGGAAGGACTTTTGTTCTGAGGGACTAGTTCTAGGGGTAAGGACTTCTGATCACCCGGACTGGTACCGTAATCACCCGGACAAAACACCCCCCCGTAATAGTACACCCCCGGGTAGCTTGTGCGGGGGGGGTGCTATAGCCGACCTCGTTTGTACTATACCCCCCTTTTTGGGATGATTCTCTATAACACCCCCCTTTTCTTACGAAACCCTATTATAGCTGTTATCGAGTCAGATTTTTTACGGGAATATCGCTTCCTGAATGAAATTTCGCGTGCACTTTCACTTCGAATCTACCGAGATTCCCTCCCTTCCACAATTTCGCTGTCGCCACGCTGGCGAATCTTCCGCTGCACGTGGCCCGAGAGGTTCTCGTCAAAACGCGAATTCTCGCCTCAACATGTGATGTTAAAACGACTATTGAAACACCCAAATTGTCTAATTAAACTTTTTTCTTACACTAAAAAGTGCCATATATAACCACCCGGGTATTATATAGGATTTTCCGTTGAGAGCACCCCCCCCATTTTTTCCCTGTGGTTATCATAATACCCCCGGGTGTTATGTCCGGGTGATTACGGTAGTTCTAGGGGGGAGGACTTCTGACGTGAGGCAGTTCTAGGGGGAAGGAAGGACTTCTGATCTGAGGGTCTAGTTCTAGGGGGGAGGACTTCTGGGGACTAGTTCTATTGGGACTAGACTACAAGGCAGTGAATTTCTTCTAGGGGGACCAGGCTACACATTCACATGCAGTGAAATTCTTCCTGGGGGACTGGACGTGGGGTACGGCAATATCTTCTCATTTCAATAATAATTTCTCTCAGCCAAACAAGGAGACATGCTTGTCATATGAAGTAAGGAGTTACAATAATTTGCAATCATACCCAGTAGAGCAAAGCAGCAGCTTGTGGCATATTGTCTGCAGCTGCTACTTCCCCCGCTGTCCTAGCGGTCCCCTCTCTGCCTCTCAATCCCCATGAAATGCCAGCCTCTCTCGCTCTCCTCGTCCTTCAGCACAGCCTGTGAAATGCCAGCAGGAAGCTGATTCACGCTACTGATGCACCGGTTCTTTTCGTCTTAGATGCCTCTTTTGCTGCCTCGACCTCTGATGCCTTCCTCGTGCTTCTACCTCTGCCTCATTGCTCAGCCTGCCATGTGAGCGAGGGAATGAGGGAAGAAGGCGGGGGATGTGAGCAGGCTGAAACTCATGCCAACGTGCTGAAACTGATGCTGATATGCTGATATGCTGATATGCTAATGCTGATGCTGATATGCTGATGATGATGCTGATGCTGATGCTGATATGCTGATGCTGATGCTGATATGCTGATGCTGATGCTGATGCTGATATGCTGATGCTGATGCTGATGCTGATATGCTGATGCTGATGCTGATGCTGATATGCTGATGCTGATGCTGATGCTGATGCTGATATGCTGATGCTGATATGCTGATGCTGATGCTGATGCTGATGCTGATATGCTGATGCTGATGCTGACGCTGATGCTGATGCTGATGCTGATGGTGATGCTGATGTGCTGATGCTGATGCTGATGCTGATATGCTGATGCTGATGCTGATATGCTGATGCTGATATGCTGATGCTGATGCTGATGCTGATGCTGATGCTGATGCTGATATGCTGATGCTGATGCTGATATGCTGATGCTGATATGCTGATGCTGATGCTGATGCTGATATGCTGATGCTGATGCTGATATGCTGATGCTGATGCTGATATGCTGATGCTGATGCTGATATGCTGATGCTGATGCTGATGCTGATGCTGATGCTGATGCCGATGCTGATGCTGATGCTGATGCTGCTGATGCTGATGCTGATGCTGATGCTGATGCTGATATGCTGATGCTGATGCTGATGCTGATGCTGATATGCTGATGCTGATGCTGATGCTGATATGCTGATGCTGATATGCTGATGCTGATGCTGATGCTGATATGCTGATGCTGATGCTGATGCTGATATGCTGATGCTGGTATGCTAGTGCTGATACGCTGATGCTGATGCTGATGCTGATATGCTGATGCTGATATGCTGATGCTGATGCTGATATGCTGATGCTGATATGCTGATGCTGATGCTGATATGCTGATGCTGATGCTGATGCTGATGCTGATGCTAATGCTGATGCTGATGCTGATATGCTGATGCTGATATGCTGATGCCGGTATGCTAGTGCTGATACGCTGATGCTGATGCTGATGCTGATATGCTGATGCTGATATGCTGATGCTGATGCTGATATGCTGATGCTGATATGCTGATGCTGATGCTGATATGCTGATGCTGATGCTGATGCTGATGCTGATGCTAATGCTGATGCTGATGCTGATATGCTGATGCTGATGCTGATGCTGATATGCTGATGCTGATGCTGATGCTGATGCTGATATGCTGATGCTGATATGCTGATGCTGATACGCTGATGCTGATGCTGATGCTGATGCTGATGCTGATATGCCAATGCTGATGCTGATGCTGATACTGATGCTGATGCTGATGCTGATGCTGATGCTAATGCTGATGCTGCTGATGCTGATGCTGATGCTGATGCTGATATGCTGATGCTGATGCTGATATGCTGATGCTGATATGCTGATGCTGATGCTGATGCTGATGCTGATATGCTGATGCTAATGCTGATGCTGATGCTG